GAGGAGGAGGAGGAGGAGGAGGAAGGGGAAGAGGATGAGAAGGAGGAGAGGAGGAGAAGGAGAAGGGTGAGAAGGAGGAGGATCATGACGACGAGCAGGAGCAGCGGGAGGAGGAGGAGGAGGAGGAGGAGGAGGAGGAGGAGGAGGAGGACGACGACGACGACGACGAAGGCGCGATAGAGGATGAGGAGGACGAGCCCCCAGGAGGAAAACGGAGACCCTATGAGGATCAGTTGCGCAATGATCTCAAGCTGGGAGCTCGGCTTGCCCGGGGCTGGGACGCATCCGTTCTGGGAGGGCGCGATGCTGTCAGCGGAGAAATAAGAGGCCACCGCCACCGAGAACCCATCGGGGGGGACGGACCCACCCCTGGGCTGTGGCGCGGTTGAGCCAAGAACGTCACAGAATGTGATGGCTGGTTCATCGGCTCCTCATCCTCTTCCACCTCCACTGCCCGTCTCCTGGCCCTCGCTCACTTCTGGGCATCCTTCATCGTCGTCGTCCTCCTCCTCCTCGTTCTCCGTCCCTCCTCCTCCTCCTCCTCCTCCTCCTCCTCCTCCTCCTTCTCCTCCTCCTCCTCCTCCTCCTCCTCCTCCTCCTCCTCCTCCTCCTCCTCTCTTCTTCTCATCCGCCTCCAAACCTCCGAGGCCGGGCTGGAGTCTTCAGGAGACCTCCTTCAGGCCACTTGCGAGGCTACCTCGACTAGGTCGGTGCCGGTGGGCTTTGTTGGTTCCCTGCAGGTACAACCCCGACAGGGAGTTTGTCGAGTTCGCGCGAGACGTGGACCGGCTCGGGGAGGTGGCCGTGTTGGGAAAGGCCTGTCGGCACGCAAGAGGGAAGCAGACGGACCCTTCTTTGTCAGAGCGAAGCAGGGTGCCTTCTTAGAAGACCGACCTCCTCGCCTTCCGACGAGATCACCGCAAAACCAGTCCCCAGACCCCCTCCTGGTCCTTCGTGGGCAGTCATCCGAGCCGCGCCCAGCCATACGGCGAGAATCTTTGGACGAGGCCCAGAGCCTCGCAAACGACGGCGATGTCAATGACGACGTCCTGCCGTCGCCGGACGACGACCACCCCTGGCCCAAATCGGCCCCCTTTTCCCAGGCCCCCGGCGTCGTGATTTCCCACGACGTGGCTCCCCAGAGAAAAAAGAGAGGAAAAAACAACCCAAAAAACGACGTGGCTCCCCAGAGGTTTGGACCCTTTTCGGGACCGGCTTTTCATCTTGGGCCATTTTTGGACGGTCCTGGGCTGGGTGAGGGCCCCCCGGAGGCAGAACATTAGCACAAACCTCTCGTCGTGGTTCTTGTTCGCAAAGAGGGCACGCCATGGCATGGCCCTGACCAGTCCCCCTCCTGTAGAGCCGATATCACACACACACATGCAGCATCCTACAAGAAAATTCGACTGGAGCCTAGGCCCCATGTTTCTGCTGCATTCTTCGAGCAGGATCGATCCGTGAGGGCCATGGGCCCCGAACAAAACAAGATCGCCCGCTTCGACAAAATGCGACGCCAGGATCTCGGGGAAAGCTGCTTCCTGAACTTTCCCGACCTCCTAAATCATGTTTGTTGTTCATAACCTCGACCCCCAGAGGTCTCGACCTATTCCCTGGGACCGGTTTTTCATCCTGTGCAGTTGTCGTTGACGCTCCAGCGATGGCCCCCAGAGGCCAAAAATGGCGAAAAACCTCGCGTCGTGATTTTCTTCATGACCCCAGGGGTTCTGGACTCTTTGCGCACCAACCCACAAGGCGCCCCCAGACCTGGGCATGCGCGAGTCCGCGGCCCTCTCGAGCCTGCTCCCGGTACTTGCAGCGCGCGGGTGGACCGTGTCGGGCTCCCCCAGGGACGCCGCGAAGGACGCTGGGGTGCCCCAGCCGCACCGACGGGCATGGTGTCTCTGCGCCTTCCCCTCGGGCCTTGAGGTTGCAGACATGCTCGCTCCGCGAAAAGAAACACGACGGGAGGGCCTTTAGGCTGTGTTCGGCCCCTGGGGGCCCTCGCTGGGCATGGCACCGTCACAAAATCACCCAGAATGAAACCGGCCTGGGGATTTCTGGGGACAGCGAATTGAAAAAGTCAGGGCGTCGCATGTCTGCGCCCAGACATGCTCGCGTCGTGGAACAAAGAACACGACGGGCAGTCTGATATTATGTTCGGCCTCTGTGGAGAGGACCGCTGGGCTTGCTAACAGGATCAGAGTGAGGGGGCCGAACGGTCATTCATTGTCCCTGGGTGCGTGGCTGAAGTGAGATTCCGCGGTGCGGATTCGTGTTGTTGTTGTTGTTGTTGTTTGTTTGTTTGTTTGTTTTTGTTGTTGTTGTTGTGGTTGTTGTTGTTGTTGTTGTTGGTGTTGTTGTTGTTGTTGTTGTTGTTGTTGTGTTTGTTGTTGTTTGTTGTTGTTTGTTGTTTGTTGTTTGCTGTTTGTTGTTTGTTGTTTGTTGTTTGTTGTTGTTGTTGTTTGTTTGTTTGTTTGTTTGTTTGTTTGTTTGTTTGCTTGTTGTTGTTGATTGTTGTCGTCGTCCCACCCGCAACCCGCCCCGCGACCCGCCCGCGGCCCACCCCGCGACCCACCCGCGACCCACCCGCGACCCACCCGCGACCCACCCGCGACCCACCCCGCGACCCACCCCGCGACCCACCCCGCGACCCACCCGCGACCCACCCTGCGACCCACCCGCGACCCACCCGCGACCCACCCCGCGACCCACCCCGCGGCCCACCCCGCGACCCACCCGCGACCCACCCGCGACCCACCCCGCGACCCGCCCGCGGCCCACCCCGCGACCCACCCGCGACCCGCCCGCGACCCACCCGCGACCCACCCGCGACCCACCCGCGACTCACCCCGCGACCCACCCGCGACCCACCTTCGACCCAAACCACGTTCAAGGTACAAACCAACATTTTCGGCGCCTGCGGCGGGCTTTTTTTGCATTCCTTCCAGGTGGAGAGCCCGCGATCAACTCGCGACCAACCCGCGACCCAAACCACGTTCAGGGTACAAACCACATTTTTCGGCGCCTGCGGCGGGCATCTTTTGCATTCGTTCTAGGTGGAGAGACCGCGGCCCACCCGCGACCACGTTCAGGGTACAAACCAATTTGTTCGGCGCCTGCGGCGGGCATCTTTTGCATCCGTTCGGGAGAGGGAGGACGAGGAAGAAGCGGAGGAGGAGGAGGACGAGGTGGAGGAGGACGACGATGACGATGAGGACGAGGACGAGGACGAGGACGAGGAAGAGGAGGAGGAGTAGGAGGCGGAGGAGGAGGAGGAGGAGGAGGAGGAGGAGGAGGAGGAGGAGGAGCGCCATCGACAAGGAAGGTGGGGGCCACGAGGTCCGCCGGCTTGACGACGCCCGCGTCGCCCGCGCCCGCCCCCTCACTCTTATCCGCAATTGCGGGGTGCTGGATAGGGGATTAGAAGTAGATGCTAAGGTGGGTTCTGTCTGGCCTAACCTAGCCTACACGAAGGCTCCTGTGCCCTGAGTGGGCACTCGGGATGAAAGCTGGTCCCGGGAATGGGTCGAGGACTCTGAGGTTCCGCGTTGTGAAAAACCACGGCGGCGAGTGTCTGGGTCCTGCGCTTGGTAAGGCTTCGGTCTACGCGCAGACAGCCCCCCCAGGTTAAGTTGTCCAAGCTGGGCTCAACAGGCCCCCCGAGTAGTCCGAGGCGGTCTCAACACCCTGGCGCCGCCTCCGGCGGCGCCCCATTGGGCCCTCCGCGCCCCAAGGTTGGGGTGTGTCTGGGGGCCGTTTTGTTTTTCGCTTCGGCAAGCTTCCTTGTGGAAGGGGGGGGGGGGGGGCGCGGCGAGGCCCGAGTGGAGATTTGCATTTCACGGACGTCGGCACTCACCTGCACGCTGTTCGGCCCAGAGTTGCCTGAAGCAGTGGCGGAGGTGGGGACATCGTGGAAGTAACTTGCTTGAGTCCAAAGGAGTACACCAGAGAAAAACCCCAATTAGTGAATGGTTTCGCTGAGGAGATCGACCAGGAACCCGGGAGCCCGGGAACCCAGAACCCACAGAAATCGGCCCAGCACCACTAACCGGGAACCCGGGAACCCGGAACCCGGGAACCCGGGAACCCGGGAACCCAGCTTGCTACCAAACTCGGCGGGAAGTTTTCGCCAAATCTTTCAACTTCCGCTGGGACCCCAATCAGTGCAAGCACTGGTTGGGGAAAGACAGTCTCCTGGCGTCGCATGTCTTCGCAACCGGCGCGCCTGCCCTGCTTTGGGCCCAGTTACCCTCACGGGTCGATCTGGCTCAAGACATGCCGCAGAGAGATGGGGCGCCTTCAAGGCTCGGGCCGAGTGTGTTTTGCGATGCTGCATCATTTTGTCGCAACGTCGGATCTCAGGGTCTCCGCGGCGTGACCAAAATCACTGCGGATGATCTCCCTGGAGGCCCTGCCGGGCCCTGTGACGGTCAAGCCACGAGCCGGGACGAGAAGCGCGTCCCCAGGAAGGATTCCATACCTCCGGGGAGCCACGCTGTGAAAAGCTCGCGGCGACGGAGGTCTGGGATCGGGGCGTCGTGTAGAGGGTTCGGCTGGCGTTTTTGCTGCTCCGTTTCGGGCCCCATGGGGCCCACGCGGGTGAATCGGCCCGAGAAGCGCAGCAGAAGTACGGCATTGGCAGTTTTGGACTTGATCTACCATTGCGCTAGATTTCACGGCTTCGTACCCGTGTGCCTCCCCTAGCAGTCACCACGGGGATCTGGGAGCGTGGTAGACCAGGTTTGGGATGTCCTTGCAAACGCTGAGGGCTAGTGCTTCGTTTTGAAGATCGACGTTTCTTATACGATTTGGGCGCCGTTTTGTTACGCTTTCAGGTTCGGGATCGGTCTGTGGCACACCTGTCAGTTTTCTCTCCGTTCTCATTGCCTTTTCATGCGTTTCTTTACGTCACAATGCCGCCTGTCTGACGTCACTTTCTGGGGGATCCTTTTCAGCACGTCTTGGTCTAACCAGGAGCGAGCCGTGGGAACCGGTGTGTAACAAAAACGCCCCCCCCCCAAGCGCTTTCAAGTACACTTGCCAACCAGACTGGGGCAGGGGCCAGGAGGAGCGTTCGCAGATCAGCGACACAGTATACAGAAACAAGCGAGCGACAAAAAAAAAATGGGCCGTCTGCGCTGACACTGGCGCGCAAGCTGCCCGCGTGTAAGGTCGCGCGTGAGCGCCCTTGCCTGCTTCAAATGTGGCGCGCCGCGCGGGCGGCCTGCCGTAAGCCGCGGCGTAAGGTCGCTACGCCATCTCGCGTAAGGCCCCTTTTTGATCGTCGCTCAAGTATCGGGGGAGCGTAAGACCCGGGTTTGCCAGGACTCGGGTTCGCCATCGTTTTTTGACGACCGCGATTCGGACTTTGACGAGGAGGAGTTTCGTGGGGTGTCTGCAGCGGGAGGCCTCGTCAGAATGCAGGCTCGGCCTCGCCATTTTTTTGACGACCTCGTCGGGGATTTCCGAGTCCCCTGTACCCGGGTCTTACGCCCCCCTGAAAGTATTCGGATGCCCGCCCCGACCCACGAGACCCACGCCGACCTCCTGAAGCTCATGCTTGTGCTGTCTACGCCCCAGTGGAGGGGGCCAGACTTCCACATGTTTTCCCATGGGAGATCAAAGCTCAACCTACGGGGCGAAAGGGGCCTCGTTCCTGGTTCAGGTTTCCTTAGGTCAGCGCCCCGACTGTACGCGGCAGGCTTTCAGAATTTCAGGCGCGCGGTCGCAGTCGGATGTGGTCAGCACATAGGTCGGCCCTGCAACAGCAAGGGCACCCTTGCGCCCTGCCTGCCGCGACCCGTGCCCTCTTCCTTGGCATCGCTCGGACGTGTGCATTTTTCCTTCGGCGAGGACCATCGAGGAGCATCCTCGATCATTTGACGAAAACAACCACGCACGAAACCGAAAAAAACACAGGAAATGGACGTCCGAGCGATGGCCAGTCTTCATGTCTGGAAACAGGGCCTGCCCTCGGAAGAGGCTCGTGGCCGCCAGCCCCGATTTGGGAAGGGAGGAGCAGGCGGACGGGAGGGAGGGCCCGACTCGGGAGAAGGTGCGCCTGGCCCAGGAGGGAGGGGCCAAACCGGCGGGCAGGGCGCAGGGCCTCCTCCTCCTCCCTCTCCTCCTCCTCCTCCTCCTCCTCCTCCTCCTCCCCCTCCTCCTCCCTCCTCTCCTCCTCCTCCTCTCCTCCTCCTCCTCCTCCCCTCCTCCTCCTCCTCCTCCTCCTCCTCTCCTCCTCCTCCTCCTCCTCCTCTCCTCTCTCCTCCTCCTTGTCCTTGTCCTCCTCTCCTCCTCCTCCTCCTCCTCCTCCTCCTTCTCCTCCTCCTCCTCCTCCTCCTCGACGGTCATGCCAGCATTGAGGATCGAGGGCTCGGGGACGTCGACGTCGACGACGTCGACATGCTCGCCTCTGAGTCTTTGCGCTCGATGTCGGCGACGTCGACGACGTCGTGCGCCTGCCCCGCAATCCGGGCACCGGAGATGCCCCCCAGGGACCAGTTCGCCATCGCGGACCGTATGCTTGATTATCTTGGGGCCCTGGAAACGGACTCTCGTAGGCCAAAGTTGAGGAACGCAGAGTTTGCGCGTTCGAAAGTGTAGCAAAATTGACGTACTGAACCCGTCCGCAACGTGTGGCAACATCAACGGGCTCATCCAAGAGGGACGAACACCATATTGCCCCTTCTGCGAGTTACAGGGAGACGATACGTTCGGCGTCCCATGAAATCTATTCGAGGCAGCGCTGAAGGAAAATTATATGCACGTGTAAGACGTCGCTCCGCTGGACATGCCAAGAGCTCACGAAAATGACCACAATTGAGCTGGTGGCAGCGCCCACAAAGGGAGATCCTGAGGGC